AATATGCCACTTCCCTGGAGACAACCCATTAATATAATCAACGGCTCATCATATTGTTCATTGCATTGACCTCTATAAGTGAAGCTCAGTAAAAAGGTTAAAGCATATGAAATGTCCCACCCGTTTGAAATTTTGGCTCTCATTTTAGTCATATAGTTGTAAAAACACTTTATAATATCTGACATATAGTCCTTCGGCGTGACCGGCCAACATGCGCATGCAATTTCCTGTATGAGATTTTTCAAAAGAGAAATGATGTTTTTTTTTTTTTTTTTGGGGGAATATTTATTTTTATATATATGTAAGTTTCTCGAGAGACTTTGTCTAGAATATCCAACGCCAATGTCAAATATAGTTTGAGAGGACATATGCCGGGGCTTCCGCCTTTCTGTTTCTGGAACCTTCAAATATTTTGGCCATAAGAAAGTTTCGACCTTGTTTGATAGGGGGGGAATAAGAATAGAAAACTTTATGGAAGATTTTAGAACTTTTATATTTGTTCTATATAAAAGATCATAAGAGAGGGAATGAGTTGGGTGAGAGTTTGAAAATCAATAATAGGACCTATCTTTTTCTCACTTATACTTAGGGATGGAGGGAATTAAGGATTAGGGCCCCTCAATTTTTTATTCTTTTTAAAAATTTATAGATATATTATATCAAATTACATTACAATCCCACAAAAAAAAAAAAAAAAAAAAACGAAAACTTGATTTAGCCCTCCCTCAAATTTTTTTCTTAAATAAAAGCTACATCTCTATTGCATTAAATTACATTTAGTTAAATTTTTACCGTAGTGATTAGCCCCCTCACTAAAATTTATAACTTCATCACTGCTTATATTATACTCTTTACAATTTTATCTCCTTTCTACCAAACACAGCCTTGTAGACTTATTATTAAGAGACTTCATTATTGGGGCACGAGTCACGTAGCACCATATTTTGATTGATTTAAGTGTTACGACAGTAGCTGAAGAGAATACAATTAATTAAGAGTTTTTTTTTCATATTTTATGAAAGAATGTTGAAAATACTTGAATAGAATCTTGGCAATAGCAGCTAGAACTAATTGCTAGTACCATAGACAAATTTGATAGCGATGGCAAAGAACACGTTTATGTATATATATATATATCGATGGAGATTTGTGATGCATGCATCTCCAAAGACATGGGGCCACATCTTTTTCAAATATTCACCGGTACTCATGATTAATGGCTTTGAATTTTCCTTTACAAGCTAGCTACTTACTTCCCCCATGGATGTTTCCTTTATTCCTAGAGGTTTTCATATGTCTATTTCACACTAATTAAAGAGAACAGTCTTGCTATCTATGAACTTCGAAGACAGTGCTAGACTTTCAATATCACTTCTCTCAAAAGGAAAGAAAGAAGAAAAGGATGAAAGCAACATGCCAATTTCTCTTAAAAGCCACGAGTATATATTATGACCAACAAATTAATCATCCAAGGGGTTAGGGGATAATGATATTCGATCTTCATTTGATTAATCATTTTTTAATATTATTATATTTAAAATTTATATGCTATACATTCAAGCATATTCGCAACATTAAGGTAATTACTACTCACCAATGTTCTAGCCTTAACTAGAAGAAGGAACATATTATACTACTAATCATGATCAAAGATATAATAGTAACTATATATTATAGCTTAAAACTAGATTTGTTTTTTCGTAAACTTCACGAATCAGGTCATGATCATAAATCATAGCACCAATCACCTGCATGATTCCAATTTGTCCATTATCCATACAGAAAATCATACCAGTGGGCGGCGAAAGCAGCAAGTTTGTCAAAGAGAAAAAAGCTAGATTCTGTACTTGATGAAAGCCAAATTTTATGGAGATAACCCCATCTCCTCACCTCACATATATTCTGACTTCATACTGTAATTCGGATAAGGTTTGTGGACTGGGATCACATCAAGGTATCTCGATCTCAAATAGTTGCGCCCTTCATTATATGCTAGCTGCTAATTAATGCCTATAACATCTATGTAGATTACATATGTGTGTGTGTGTGTGTGTATGTATCTATATATATATATATATATATATATATGTATATATATTATAAAAGAGAGGACTCAGTTGCGTTTTAGTAATCTTGACCAAAAAATAATAATAATAATAAATTTCTTTTGACACTTCCTATCGAATTGACTATAGAATGGCTTAGAAAACTTTTATGTCCAGTAAAAAGTACTCTATGTATGAAGGGACACAAATGACAATATTATCTTTTTAATTAGGCAACAAATCAGCCCTTGAGGAAAAACATACACGCATATACAACGTGAGAATACTGTCTATGGCACTTGCCCCATTCCAGGATGAATAAGTACTTATGAGTCACTATTCATGAAAAAAAGGAAAAAGAAAAGTACAGTTTTGCAATTCGTGGCATATATTATGCGAGATATAACGCATATATATACACACACCTACACACATGCTATTGCTCCAGTGGATGCGATAATTTAATCATTACAACAATTGTCATTTTAAAATTATTTAAAATTTAAATGTTTACTTTTTCAAATTCTATATTTATATATAGGTAAAGTCTCTACTTGGTTAATTACTAGACTGGAAAATGCTAATGCTGATGGTAAGTTGCATCATCAAAAGGAATTGGAGGCCACACGTATATATGAACCCTCGGACTCATTGTAGAAAGAAGTAAATTGAATAATAATAATAATAATAAAATTATTGTTTTTCTTGTGGATTTGAACTATAGTTCAAAATATTTTTGCCATGGAACTTCCCTATACAAAAAGTTTAAACTTTTCTTCAAATTTTCTGTTAAAATCCTCGAGACAAATGACCTAAAAATCAAACAATAAAAAGAAAAATTAAAAATTAAAACAAAAATAGTAAAACGACAATAAAAAAAATGAGAACGACAACGTCAATTTTAACAATATGCTTCAAATGCTCCCGATTTTCTCCAAAATTAATTTGCACGATGACCAAAAAGTTAAAAAAAATGGTGCAGGTTGAAGGTAAGTGAGGCCC